ATAAATAGTTATGATGGGGTCCTCTAACTAGTGGTTTGACCCAACAGCTCCACAAAACTAGTGGTATGGCCCAACAGACCAACATGGCGATCGATTATGACCAAGGCCCTCTAATCAGGTGGCTTGGCCCAATTGCTCCACTATATTACAATCACGGCTAAAAGCATGTATGTTCTATAACGGCTAATGCCCTTGAGTAATAAAACATAGAGTATAATCGATAAGGTATAAAGCCATTTGTCAACTAAGATCAACTCAAATATATCCTTTTAGATAAATATTCGCCGCAAGTTTACAACGTACCATTGAACAAAATAACCCATGGCAACTGACAAGTATCATTTGATCAGGTTTACCTCCTCTAACTAAGTCGACTACGTATCATGACAGCCCAGGACAACGTAACCATGGGATCTTGATCGAGCTCGTCATCATTCCACTATCAACTACTTTAAGTATATGGTGATAAATTTTAAAACCCTAAAAATCCTAAAACCCCAATGTCAAAATCCTAAAGTTGTTGCTACTATGTTGGGTACTCGGTGCCTAACTAATTTCTAGCAACAACAACAACAACAAGATCAAGCATTTGTCCCACTTGTCATGATTATTCGACAAGTTTTACGCTGACTATCGACTACCTATCGCAACCCTCCACTTTTCTCATCCAGGACTTGATGCCTAACTAATTTCTAGCCTTAATAAAAAAATTTCTCTCATTATCGGGAGGAGTAATTAACCATAAGGATTTGCGCCTATGTGAAACCAGACCCCGAATCATAAACTCCTCATAAAATAAGGATGAAATCTATAGGTAGTGTCTTATCTAAAATTCAATCTGCCTTCTAAAAAATATATTCCATAACCTAATCTCATTAAAACTCACCTCGTCAATAAAAAAGGTGTGGAGAGGCCAAAGCGCAAATTTTCAAGGCCCGCAGCAAAATTAATTGAAAACAAATTACATGACAATGCTACAAAACAAGCCCCAACAATACTTTCCCTTCTAGCCAATCTACCTCCATTATTACCATCCCTAAGCAAACAAAGTTTTCCACCAACCAAAGCTCTGCCAACTCAACCTTAAAATAATTGATGGTTAAGATGAATGAAGAAAGTCAAGAGAAAGGCCTTTACTTTAGTAGTGATGACAAATTTCATCAACATTATATTTGCAAAGGCAAATCATTTGCATTGCTCATTCATGATTACAATCCTCAAATTAAACCACCCAATACTACTACCAATGTAGCTGGCCCCCGGCAATCCACCAACTAAATCCAAATAACCAGAAATCAGCCTACATGCCTTCGTTGGCCAATTAACTCCGCATACATTTCACCTGCCGGGCTTTATCTACTCGTACCATGTCCAAATTTTAATTGATAGTGACTCGACACAACTCCATTTAGCGTTGAATTGTTGAATTTCTACAAAATCCAATTACAGCAACTTCCCTTTTTCATGCTCCTATTGACAATGGTGAAAAGCTTAATTGAAACAGTAAATGTTTAGACATAACCTTATCCTTACAAGGAACTCAATTTCACCCTCCAAGGGGCTGACATTTCAAAGGCTTCAGCACTTAGGTTTTATCGCCACAACCACAAATTACCATGCCTTATCCATTACTTTGTGAACTAGAATATCAAATTGCAAGGTGACACTTATCTAATTAAACTTATCCAATTCAGCCAACTCCAGAAATTAAATACCCAACGTTCTATTGCTAGTTGCTACAATTGATAGCTAAATTATCCAATCTACACCACCATCCCACTTCCGCTTCACCTACTAAACGCCCACAGTTGAAAAACTTGCTCCAATCATTCAGCGCAACTTCTCCACGACAACACAGACACCACCTCATCGCCACAGTAACTACCAATCCAACTAAAACCATACTCCCCTCCTATCCCACTACTAGAAAACAGCCAATGAAAAATTAGTAACCAGGATACTGCATTTTGAGCTGATTCAACCAAGCATAAGCTGTTACTCCTCACCAGTGCTGTTAGTCACAAAAGGATAACACCTAGCAATTTTGTGTTCATTATTGGGCTCTCAACAGCGCAACAATTCCCAATCAATTCTGGTGGATGAAATGCCATGATTTTTTTGAAGCTCAACCTCTAGGCTTATTATAATCAACTTTGCATGGTTGAACAAGACATCCACAAAGCTGCCTTCTGGACTGATGAAAGTCATTATGAATTCAGAGTTATGCATTCGGTCATTAGAATGCCCCAGCAACACTCTAAAGCATCATAAACACAATAGTAAAACCATTTCACCAAGAAATTGTTTTAGCTTTTTTATGAAATGTTAGTTTATAGTAGAAATATGTCCGATGACACTAAGCATCTAACCATTGTTTTCCACTATCTTGACAAAATCAATTTTTTTTCTTAAGCATCCAAAATTTTCATTCGCAAATCACAAATAGAGTATTTCATGTCGTGACTGTTGATGGCATCCAACCCAACCTTGAGAAGATCCAAGCAATCCTAGATTGGCCTAAACCGCCAATAGTCAAAGCCTTCCGCCGCTTCCTCAGATTAACCAATTACTATCGACGATTTGTATGCCACTTTGCCTACGCCTAACTTGTTGCACCATTGATAGCAAATGCTTTAGAAACACACCTTTAATTGGTCGCTGCCAGACTTTGAAGCCTTCAAACAACACAAATAAAAACCAGCCAATCCTCCTCTACTTATTCTTCCAAACTTCTCCAAATCTTTCACAATTGAAACAAATGCCTCCAGTGTCAAAATTGCTGTTTGTGTTATCTCAAAGTGAAATGAACGCTTATTATGCAGTGCGCTTCTAAAAACATCTGCAAACTCTTCGCAATTAATTGAAGCTATCAAAAATGGAGACAATATATATCAGGGTGACATTTACAATCCGCATAGACCAAAAGAGCATTCACAAACTTGTCAACCAAGTGGTTCAAACTCCTGAGCAGCACTGCTTTCTTCTCAAACTTTTAGGCTTTGATTTCACAATCAAATACAAATAGAGATCATTAATTAAAGTTGTGGATTCCCTGTCATGAATATATGAGTCACTCAACTCGCCCACAACTACTTTTATGCTTTAATTGATCTCAAAACTCATTCATAATCTCTTACATCACTTGAAAAATGAGAAAGCAACTTCAAAAGAATTAATTCAACTCCACCAATCCTTGTTATCAAACCCGCCCAAGCATAAAAACTATGAGCTAAAGGAGGGCTTCCTCTAGAAGCATAGCAGCGTCGCTTTATCCAGCTCCTCTCCTCTCAAAGAACGCTACTATCATTCTGGACTGGTTGGCAGTCTTGCTAACAAAATCAAAACTCTACCACGGTTACACCAAATTTTTTATTGGAAGGGTTTCAAAAAGGATATAGCTATCTTCATCAAATATTGTCCAGTTTATCAAGCAACCAAGTACCAATAGCACCAGCTATTCTCCTACATCCATTTCTGATTCCAAATGCTGCTTGGGAAGACCTCTTGATGGACTTCGTCATTAGTTTACCACCATTACAAGGAAAAAATGACAATCATGGTGGTTGTCAACCATGATTGGTAATCAACTCTATGTTTTGCCTGACCAAATATGACCACTTCACACCTTTGGTAATCAACTTTACAGCATCCATAATTGCATTTTCCGTCATCTCCAATACCTATCGCCACCACGGAATCCCTAAATCTATCACCATAGACCGTGATCGCATTTTTTCTAAGCAATTTTGGCGTGTCTCATTCAACGAAATGGAAACCTCTCTGCACTACAACACAGCAAAACACCCCATCCTCAAACAGACAGTCAAATTGAGGTGACCAACTGAACTCTTGAACAATACCTTTGTTGTTATGAGCTTGACAATCCACACGATGGATGCACTATATCCGATGGGCTGAATTATCTTCAAACACCTTATTCCATTCTTCCAGTGGATTGACAACCTTCCAAGCTCTCTCTTGCAGGCCACCACTACCGATTCACCCATATATTGGCTAATATATAGCTTAAGAAGCTGATGATCTTTGGTTGCAGCAATGCCAAACCCTCCTTCGCTCCCTTCGAGAAACTTACTCCAAGCCCAAAATCAAATTAAACAAAAAACCAAGAAGCAAAGGAGGGAAGTTGTATTCAATGCCGGCGACCTCGTGCTTGTCAAATTACAACCCCACTGCCAAATTTCCGTCTGCCCAATTCTTTATCCCTTTCCTGTTGCTGAGAGAATTGGTGTTGTCGCCTACAAGCTCATGCTTCCCTTAGAGTCAAAAATCCAGCTTCTTCTCCACGTCTCTCCTCAAAAAATATTACCATAACCCTTAGTTCCACCCAACACAACTGCCTCCAAATAGCCGGGACTGCCAGGCTACTAAGTTGCAGCATTTAGTCTAATGGAAGAGGATGTCCGAGGAGAAGCTCCTTAGTTGATGACAAAGCTCTGTAGCCGCAATGGACAAGGACAATCTCCTAAGGAGAAAAGAAATTGATACATCCCAAGAACCCTGTCAATGCTGCCGGCGACTCGAGCCGCTCCAACAGATATCAGGGCAATTAGCGGGAGCAAGCTGCTATTCAGCGATGTTGATGAAGAAATATGTATAAATTGCTACAGTGCTCAGCAAAAAGATATAGAGAAGAGTATTACTTCCTCCTCTTATTTCTTCATGTCATTACTCCCGTCTTTGTTTTGCGTTTGCTGAGGAGGTAAATCGCAAGTGTCCTCCAATTGCCCCAAAAAACCATTGTGATCTTCCGAAGGTACGTAATGAAGAAATATTAAAAATGGGCAGAACATTTCAGGCGTTCCTGAACGATTCCCTTATTGAATACCTAGCAGAAAAGTTCTAAAGAAATACGGAAGGAATGCCATCGATGCTATGGAATTGTTCGTCACATAATTCAATGCCTCGGGCAGCATCACGCTGAGAGAGAGAGAGAGAGAGAGAGAGAGAGAGAGAGAGAGAGAGAGAGAGAGAGCGTGTACCTGGGGACACTTGTCGACAAGCTCCTGGACATAATTCTCCCCGAAGACACGATGGCCAGCTTCGTAGGCCTGCTGGATGACGGAGACGGACTTCGTCTTGCTCACAGCCACGATCCTCACCTGCTCTGATGATCGACCGGATCTCTCCGCTGCCACGTGCACCCTTGAAAGCACCGAGCGGAGTGCCGTTGCAGCTGCACTTTCCATGGCTGGACAAGCCATGTCGGATTGATCTTCTTAGAGCTTGTGGCCCTTTTGTTTCCTACGTACCTCTTCAGCTGCCTCAAAGACGAGGATCACAACAAAGCAATACCTAATGGCTAATGCAACCACAATGCAAAAAATGCCGAGCTTAGTGGTTTTTGACCTAAAAAAAAAACTTTATATATATACTCTCTATGATTTTTCGTGTAAGCAAAGGAATAATATAGGTACCATCAGTCATATGGGTTGAAGGTGACTTCATAATCATGGGTGCCAATCACCTACAATATTATTTTCGAGCTACCTCTCCTAAGTACATTAAAGATAGTCATATCAAAATATCATATGATGATTAAGTTACTGATAAGATGCCAATGAATCATGAGAGACAACGGCACCCAATCATAGATGTGTTATTTGAAGGTTGTGGGGACGGTGGTGACTTCCGCATAAGAGTTACTATAGTCGGAGGTCGAGTAAGGACTAAGATTGGAAACAGTTAAAATAGTGGAAGAAGTCCTAGCAATATAAGATGGCCCATAGAGAATATTGAGGATATGAGAATCATTTAGCCCAACACATTGTGGGGTGCTCAACCAAATCTCAAGGATGACCTCGTTGTTTTTTATGTGGATAATTGTAGGGATGCTAGGCATAGATGTAGAAAGTTGTTTGCTACTTATTGAACATGAAATGAGAAGTCCAACAAATCAAACAAAGATAAGAAAGAAGGAGATAATACTTACTGAACCCATAAGGCAAGTAGTTTGAAAGTGACTCAATGCAAATTTCATTAGAGAGGTACAATACCCTAACTAGATATCTAATATAATCATGCTATACAAAATGAATGGTAAATGGAGAACATGTGTTGACTTTGCCAACCTTAACTTGGCATATTTAAAATATGGATATCCCATTCTTAGGATCAACTTGCATGTGGACTCAACAGTTGGATTCCCCAGTGATAAGCTTTCTGGACACATTCTCAAGCTATTATAATATCATACGTGAAGGCATATACTGTAATAAGGTCATTCCATGTCACCGACTAGAATCAAATTTGAAAGAATTGTATACTTTATCTTTTAAATCATTTACCAAAGCTTTTATAAATCATCCATATACTTCAATATCCAACAAAAATAATTAAATATTATACACATTAAAATATTTCACTATTTTCATTCACACAAATAACATTTTATAATAGTAAGGAGATCACTAATAATTACTGGTCTATCAATAGCTCTTAACTACAAAAGAATAAAAAAAATATGAAACAAAATTAAAAGAACTTGAAAATCTTAATTAGTCTCACTCCACATGATCTTTAGCCCTTCCCTGGCCTGAAACTAATAAAACCACATAAAGTGCTTACAAAGCCCAACAGAAATCCAAAAGTTGCTAAAGCTTTCAATACAAGATCTAAAAAATCAATATGCATGCTCTCAATTAATAGAATCAGTAGCGTTCAATGCCCAACCATCAGTTCTACTTTTTAATATAATCCATAATGAAAAGGGAGAATCAACACATTTAAATTCATAAATAAAAAACAGTTGCAAAAATGTAAATACATCGATAATCGATAAATCAGTACTATAGCATAAACATACAAGTGTCAATGTCATTAGTTTTACCCATCTTATGAAATTAGTACATATAATGTACACACTTTTATATCTATCTATGAATGTTATCAATGTTTTTAAAGTTATCAACGTACGAATTACATCAATAAATGATTCAACAAGATAGGACATCCAACTTTAATGTGATATTTACATTCTTTTATTTATATTCATTGCATTATTATATCATCTTTATTAGCATTATTTTTATCATTATTATTATTGTATGCAACTTTCAATAAATCATTAAGAGCTGTCACTCTCTGCCCGTCAGCATAATCAATCATCAATTACATGCGATAACGAAGATAACACTATAAGTAATATTTAAAGGAAAGCCCGTCGACCCAATGTCTTGTGCAGTGTATTATATTTTTATAGTCAAACTAAATTAACTATAATATTAACAGTAATTAGTCTTCATTGCTTACATGCATATATTATATTTATTTCATATCAATTATATCAATATCCTATTCACAAAAAAAAAGAGAGAGATAAAGGTGAGTTTTTTTTAGGGCAGGGGCGAGTAATGAAATGTTGCGCGTACAGACCAGTGGTCCCGGAGGACGGCGCTGAGCTGAACCGGATTTCGAGGTTACTAACAAGGCGGGGGGACGGAGAACAAGCGCCAGAGCAAGTATGAGGGGATAAAGCAGGACAAGGTGGACGCACTTGGGACGCGATTATATTCATGACGACCGTGGGTAATTGGCAGAAATTTTTTGAAATGCAAACGGTCGCCGTTTTAGGATAATTCTGTAAGGACATGCACTTGATTTGATTTAATTTTAGTCGAGCGATTAGGAGCCCTTAAGAGAAGGGGCTCACTTACTTGCATTTGA